ATACTCCATTGCCTCCGAAAACCAGCACCTTTCCCCTGTTATAAATGTATTTTCATGGACAGAGCAACCTCGGTTTGAGTTTTGATCTCTACAGCCTTGATCTGCACCAAAGTCTGGTTAAATCTAAAGGAGATTTGCCCCCATTAAGTTGCCACTGGATCTTCTGGAAGAAGTACTTTGGGTATCATTTCAACAAGCAAAGAAACCCCTGGAACCTTTATTGGGTTTGGAGGTCAGAAAAATAGGCAGAGCCTGAAGGATCCTCTGGAACTAAACACTRCAAAACACTTCAGAGGAATTTTAGTTTTCTCTGCTCTATAGTCTATTTGTCTGACAACATGGAGCAGGAAAGATAGCTCAAGTTACCCAGCTGGGGACCAAGGACCCACAGGATGCCAAAGACACATTGTGATACAAGTGCTCATCTGCCTTCACAATGCATTTTCTTTGACTKGGTGGCTGGAGCACCACATGAACAGGTGGCAGTGAGAAACTAAGAAACAATTTTGCTTTTTTTCCAGTTTTCAGGATCAGCTACAAAAACCTCACCAGTAGTCTCAAATGGCTTTAGTCAATGCCCTGAAGGWAATTGTTAACTATTAAAACTATTAAAGATGTTCTTTAAATTTGGTAGTAATAATGATATTCATCCAAGAATGTAGAAATCATGGCAACAGCATGGCTTRACATCAGTATACAAGAGTAAAAAATACACAAAAGCATTTGAGACARGATGGTTCTCAGGTTCACAGGTTTGACCACAGTTTGATTGAAAGTAATTACTAACTAAATTAGTTCATGGTCAAAAGTTCATGTCAATCAGGAAAAAACTGGTCAATTCTAGAAAGGCTTACACTAGTAGATATTTATATCTACAAAAAATAACTTAATATTTGCATAGATAGACATCACAGGCATCTGGAAATGGAATACTGTAAGCACATGTTTGATTATTTCCAATATGCACATAAGTTGCTATGAATACTCCTGTATAGGGTTTTTGCTTTAACATATTATGTAACATAATATTTTTCCTTTGAGTTTACTTTGGATTTATTTTGCTCTTCTTTTTTATAGGTTCCTGAAGTGGGAGCTTRGATTATTGATTTAAGACTTTTTCTTTTATTTTTTAAATATTTTTTYAGTTGATGGACYTTTATTTTATTCATTTATTTATATGTGGTGCTGAAAATTGAACCCAGTGCCTCATACATGTGAGGCAAGCACTCTACCACTGAGCCACGACCCCAGCCCATAAGATTTTTTTCTTTTTTAACACACGCACTCAACACTATAAACTTCCCTCTCAGCACTGCTTTAGCTGTGTCCCACAAATTTTGAAGTGTGGTACAATTGTTTTCATTCCACTCATTTTTTTTTTACTTCAGTATAATCTCTGTTTGGAATATTTAGAAATGTGTTGTCCAGTTTTCAAGTGCTTAAAGATCTTGATGTTATCTTTCTGTGATTTCTATTCTAATTCCACTGTGTTCAGAGAACACATGCTATATGATTTGTATTCCTTTAGATTTGTTGAGGTTTATTTCATGGCCTAGCATACGGGCTGTATTAGTGTATGTTCCAGAGGTACTTGAAAGAAAGTGTATTTTGCCATAGTTGGGTGGAACTTTTTTATAAATGTTAATTTATAAAATCATCATCCTGCTGGCTAATGAAGTTGTCAATTTCTTCTATTTCCTTGCTCATTTTCTGTATAGTTGTTCTATTAACATAGARGTGTACTGAAATCTCTAACCATACTTGTTGATTTGTCTATTCTTTCAGTTCTATCAAGTTTCTTCACATATTTTGCAGCTCTGTTGTTTGGTGCATATACCTTTAGGGTTACTATATTGGTAGATCGACCTTATGTCATGATATAATGTCCCTTTCTGTGTCTATGATTTTCTGAGTCTGAAGTCTACTTTAATATGCTTCCAACATAGCCACTCCTTATTTTAATTAGTATTTGCATAGTATATGTTTTTTTATTATTAGTTGTTCAAAACATTACATAGCTCTTGACATATCATATTTCATACATTTGATTCAAGTGGGTTATGAACTCCCATTTTTTTCCCAGTATACAGATTGCAGAATCACATCAGTTATACATCCACATTTTTACATACTGCCATACTAGGGTCT